TTTTCTTAGACGCGTTGGCACTTTTTAACACCTTGTCATCTTTGGTTGTGTTAATATATTTCTTGTCGCATCTCAAAGAATCACACATATTTTGCTGATCTGAATCAAATGTTACCACCTTAATCCTGTGCCTCTTTGAATTTGTGGTCTCTGATGCAAATATGTGATTTTTGTCTATTTTGCGAAAAGAATTTCTTACCCTCGTCGATGCATTCAATTTTTAAGCATTTTTTAAAACGCAAATCTAAAATAGATGAATTTGCAGCTATTTCTTTTTCCTCGACAAAAATAATTAGTTTTTTGACAGTATTTTAAAGCTGCATAAGTAATCGCGAGCAGAATGCAAATTAATATTTTCAGACCGCACTTTAGTCCAAATCGCGTTTTTTACGGCCGCGCCAACATCATCAACCGCGCCTTTTCCGTGTGAAGCAGCAAAAGTATATAACACAAATTTGAAATTGTAAATTTGTTCCGAAACTGACTTGCGGCGTTGTCTGAAAAAAATCGAAGACGCGAAACGGAGTGAAATTTGTTTTTAACAAAGGACCCAATTTTTTTTTTAAATATCCAAACACTGTATTTAGAATGATTTAAATCATCGCTGATAATTGCAACAGATTCTACGTTATCCATATACCAGATGACACACTTAAAAATAGTCACTTGGCGCTTTTTCCAGTGCGCACTTTGGATTTCATTTTGACTTGTCAATGAGGCGTTTTCTGAAAAATCTATTTGCACAACAGCATTTTGAGCTTCTTTGCAAGATTCAAAGTACTTAGACTGTTGGTTTTTGATAAAACAATGTTTTTTAAAAGATGTTATTTTTTGGTTGAGTTCATTAACAACTGCGGCAACCTCTTTTTTTTCTTCGGCAACTTGCAAAAACCCTTTAATTTCTTTCCATTTATTTCTGATTGTCACAGAGCTCACATCAAAATTAAGGGGTAAAAACTCATCTACTTTTGTTTTACAAGCAGAGCAAGCACCAAACACGCATTTTTCGTTAAGCTGATCACAACAGACTAATGACATTAAGTGTTTATAGTTTGAAGGAAATTCAGTACACAGAATGTATAGATTCAACACAAAAAGAGAAGTTCGAATGTTTTTTACATACACATACATTAAATGGGGTTTGTTTAGCGGGAAGAACAAATTTGGGTCTAAATTTAAAAAAGTAAGCTCTGGAAATTTTTAAATTAGGATGCTGATTCTGAAATTCGCAGAAATCATCAACGATGTTCATCATCATCATAAAGACATCATGTAGCGGATAGGAATTTTTTCTCGTTTACCAGTGACATCATTCCGAATAGATTTAACGTCGCAATTTTCAGGAGCCTGACGACTGACACGCACTGAAAGAAATGTTTAAAGCTGGTAATAAAATATTTAATAATAGTTATTAAAAAGTTGTATACTATTTGGGACAGTCTATCAGCTTAGTTATGATTATAATACCTGTTGTCTTAAAACACTTTAACAATGGTTACCTATTCAATCTATAAACACATTCAAAACTAATAACTACACTGTAGTTACTACAGTTATTTAAGAAATATCATTATTACTGTTAAACAGTTTAATTATTATCACCAAGTTATTTTGTGCTACCAGTGAAGCAGTTTAATGATGGCTATTATGTCATTTAAAAATTAACTATTATAATACAACTCTCTTAGGGCCGGTTTTTCAATCGTTGGTTAACCTTAGCATTTTTTTTCATTATTCTTCCTGCTTAAATTTAAACTACTATTTTTTGATTTTTGGGTGGTTCTAATCGGTTAAATATAAATAAAAAAAATTATGCCAAGTTTTAGCTCTCAATTAATTTTAACCTGGCCACCATGGCAGTCAAACCTTTCAATGAAAAAATGCATGTATTTTTTGAAATTAAAATTTATAACTTTGGTAATAATTTATGAAAAAATTTTAATTTGGCAGAAATGTTATTTATAAAATGTAATTACATTATATTATAATGTATAAAAGGTTGCATTCAAAAAACATTTCATGAATTTTTTTCAATGCATCCTCTTTTACATTATGTAGGTAAGTAAGTGACTAAATTGGGCCTAATTTTAAATATTTTAAAAATTATTATTATTATTATTAAAGTTATAAATTTTCAGTTTGATTTTAAAAATACATGCATTTTTCTATTGAAAACTTAAACTGGTGTGGGGGCTAGGTTATAATTAATTAGGTTATAATTAATATTTAGAGCTAACTTGTCCTGTATGATTTTTTTTATTTATTTTAACCAATCCCCCTAAAATTAAAAAATAATAAAATAATAATAATAAAAATCTTAATAAAAATGTGTGTATATGTATATAAAATAGTAAAATACTATATGAGATCAAAAATGTTTATTAAAATAAATAAGAATGTTGATTAAAATAATAATAAGCCTCCAAACCTATTTTTTTTAAGAGCACTGAATTCTCTCCATTTCCATTGCACTATAAAAAGTTTCTATTAGCATTTATCACCATCGACCACTCCTCGCTCTCACGTTGCGTCGTTTGCCAAAAGTACCGCGAAACCAACGCGAGCGGGCGAATTGAATCGAGTATTGCCGAAAATGATCGTTCTTAAAATATTTTAATAATAGTAATTAAAGTCTTTAATAATCATTAATATTTGCATATAAACGGTTTAATAATGGTAATAATAAAAATAGTAATAAAACAATTTAATAACCATATTTAATCAATGTAATTGTCCTAATAATCCTTTAATTGGTTTAGGTATTTAACCACAATAAAAACGTTTTAAGAATCCGTGTTTAACAATGACAGTGATAACATTGATATAATGTATTACTGTTACAATCATATCATGTATTATTATCACAATTAAACAAGTATTTGTTAAAGTGTTTTGTTAGCTCATTTCTTTCTACCGCGGTACGCCTGAACCACTTAAATCAAAAGTCGGGCACCTAACTTTTTTCTTGCTTTAACATGTTTTATATGCCTAAACTAAATAGTTAACAAAAAAATTAAAATAATCCTTAAAGCCGTTTTAAATAAAAATCCAAAGGTAAAAATATTAGTAAACTATTTATTCTAAGGATTATTTTAATTTTTTTTTAAAACTATTTAGTTTAGACCTATAAAACATATTAAAGCAAGAAAAAAGTTAGGTGCCCGACTTTTGATTTAAGTGGTTCAGGCGTACCGCGGTAGAAAGAAATGAGCTAACAAAACACTTTAACAAATACTTGTTTAATTGTGATAATAATACATAATATGATTGTAACAATAATACATTTATATACTATTATATCAATGTTATCACTGTCATTGTTAAACACGGATTCTTAAAAGTGGTTCAGGCGTACCGTGCTGACATTGTCGTTGCAAAAAAAATCTTCAATAAGTTTTCCATTTACATCAACCGGCCGACGAGGCGCTCTTGCTTCTTTACAGATCGAATCCCAAGCTTCAGAATTGAACGTCCTGTTTACAATTTCTTTTTCGGAAAAACTTTGATTTTGAAACTTCTTTTTTTCCATGTAAAAAATTTGTTAATTTTTGTGTTATTTTCTCTCCTCTTGTTCTTGGGTCCATTCGAAGGGTACATGTTGTTTTGTCAATCGGGTAATACCACAGACCACTGTGGGTAATACAGGCAGACTAGCAAAATTAGGAACAAATTTACGAAAATATCCCGCTAGTCCCATGAATTGACGAATCTCTTTAATATTTATGACACAGGTGATTCTACTAAATCTTGAATCTTTGCTTTTCCTGGTCTGATCCCTTCACTTGAAACGAGATACCCGAGTTTGTTTAAAGAAAAACCTGCTGCATTAGTGCATTCAGCAAACAGACCACCAAAACAAATGGACGGCGCATTGCCATTCAATAACAATGCGTCAAATTGGAGATAGAATTTTATGTTTTCTTCCAGTGACGTCAACAAACGGTCACAGTCTAAGCGTTAAATTGGCTATAGAATTTTATGCTTTCTTTCAGTGACGTATTGCGTACTCCAAAAATAATAAGTAGGTAGGTACTTACAAACGATATTTCCATGTATTGTTATTTTTAGTAAAAAATAATGTATTTAAACTCCATAATTAACTTAAACACGATAGAAATACAAAAATGAAAACACAAAACAACAAGCTGTCAACCTTTTTCTATGCTGTCAAATATGACGAATTTACCAACGTTGTTAATATTTAATTTTAATAATTATTAAATGATTTACTTTCTTTAAATAGAGAAAAATATCTAAAGAAAGTGATAAACAAATCGTTTTTACAATTTTATTCAAACGAATTGCTGGTAATTTTTAATGTTCATTATGATATGATGAACGTCCAAAAAGGCGTGTAATCTATACTTCTGACAACGTTGGAAGCCGTGTTTCTTTCGACGGTGTTTAGAATGTAAAACTATGCTTTACTCGCTTTTTAAACGTAAACAAATCCGTCCATTTGTTTTGGTGGTCTGTGATTCAGCACCAATCGTAAGCTCTCGAGTCCTTCTTGGAGTGTGCGGCTCGATATCAGAATGTCATCTAAGTACACCAGGGCGACAGTGTCCTTCACGGGTCCTAATGCAAGATTTATGGCTCGCTGAAAAATAGCGAGTGCATTGGCGAGAGCAAATGGCATTCGCAGATACTCGTAATGCCCATCGGGTCTTGTGATAGTAATCCGATTAAGCTCCCTGAAATCTACGCACATCCTATACGAACCATCTTTCTTTCTGACTAATAGAACATGATTTCCAAAAGGAGGCTTACTAGGTCGAATAATGTGATTCTTCATTAAATCTGATACGATTTCCCTGACAGCTTGCCTCTCACTGACGGCCATTCGATATAGTGAACGATTGATAATAACGTCCTTTTGGAGCCTAATCTACAAACAAGCATTATTTACTGCTGTTACTTTGTTACCACTTGTGAACATGCATGTGAAGTCTCGTAGCACTTCATTCAAGGCATGACGATGTTCTGTCGGAACGTCAACTTCACACATTTGGCTTTCCACTACACGACGGATGCCGGGAACTTGATAGTAGGTTTATTCCTGGTAGGTTGCGTCGTATCACTCGAGACCCTTGGTAGTCAGTGATGGTAACAAGGCTTTCATCCTCAAAGAGGTTTCGACCAATAAAAACGTCATAATCGAGGCACTCGTCTGGCAGAAAGACGTAGATAACGATTGTGTCAACACCGGAAATTCTTGTGCTTCCCGTAAACTTGTTAGTAGTGGTGATTGTAATGCTAGAAATCCCCTTTAGCATGACGTTGCACGACACAACTTTGTCCTTGAATAGGGCCAAATATTTCTCTGAAATGAACGATAAATCTGCACCGGTTTCGATCAATGAGCAAAAATTGTGTCTATCAACGGCAACTTCAATAGTACCAGTAGGTTTACCCGTAGAACAAAATTAATACTACGTCTCTTGTCAATTGCAGCTTTCGTGAAACAGTTGAAAGCATTATGCCCACGCTTTGCACAAAATTAACAAGAATCATTTGAACTTTGTGATGTGCTAGGCAAATCATCCCTTTATGGGTACTGTTTGCTTCAAAGGTTAGTCTCTTTTTCTTTGCATAACAGTTAGCCTGAACATGTCCTGATTTTCCACACTGATAACAATTTTTAGAGAATTTTCCTACACGCGAATCACTTTGCGAATATTTTCGCACAGATTTAAAATTACAGTTCATGGCAGCATTACGAATTTCAAGTTCCGATATACCATAAATTATTAGTTCAACCAAGTCATTTTCTTTACAATTGGCACGTAGTTTTTAATTTAGCCAACTTTTCATGTACATACGTTTCATAGGTGTTGGCACGTAAGCTATCAAAATCTGCAATGGTCGTACCATGTTTTTGCATCTTTCAACAAAAAACGTCCCACACGAGCTAAAGTTGTTACGTCAGACCATTCTAATTCATTTTTAATACTTTCTACATTGCTGACCCTTTTAGTTGATTCGGTAACCTTAGAACGAAAAGGCGGCAAATCTATCTGTTCACCAGACCGTTGTGACTGAAAGGCCTTAACCAAGTCTGCAAGGAGCGTTTGAACAGGATTGTTGCGCATCTTAGTCAACCAAAGTTTCACTACTGTCCATTGTGGAACACAGTCCGTGACGCAATTACAAAAACCTTAAAGTTTAAACCAAGTTACCACACATACATGTATGTTCACATATGTATACAGTTCACAAAATCTAAACCACTTTATAAAAACTTCACTTTAAAATTTAAACCGCGTAGAAAATCACACACACTTGCACAGACTTTATAAGCACTTCACTTTATAATTTAACATGCGTAGCAAACCACACTTGCACAGTCTACTGTTGGCGGTTGAGAACGATTCCACTTCTGATTAAAGAAATAGCACAATAATTAATAATAAATAAACAATGAAGTTTATTAACGACACTGGAATTATCAACAATTAACAATTAGAGCGGCGTGGCATCCCGAGCACGGGTTATGATAAGACTGCTCGTCTTTAGATGACAAATTCTTTATATAGGTACGCATAATTACATAACACCGTGACCGGTAGCGGCTTACAAAACAAATTTTTTCCGTATTACTCATACTTAAAAATATATGCTAACCATATATACAGGGTGAATCGGAAGGATCGCAGTAAACTCTTGGACTGCATTTTACACATCAAAACAATAAAAAAAAACTCAACTGTTCTTATCCGATTCTTATTTGTTTTCAAGTTAAGTCAAAGTTTTTAAAAACAATTGTTTCCATAGTTATACTTAATACTTAAATGCCAAAAGTTTATTCAAATTTAGAGTATGCTAATATGGTTTTTGTTTTGGCCCACAGCTGCTCTAGAAGAATATCGGCGACGTTTTCCACGTGAAAGGGCTCCACAAAAACGTGTTTTTGTGACATTGGAACTCTTCCAAGTGCTAAAATAACATCTGAAAAAGCTGATCGACAAACTTTAGAAGACGTGGAAAAATTTTTGGATCTAGTGGAAGAAGATGCAACAAACAGCACCAGAAGAATCGCTACTCAATTGGACATTTCACAAAAACGGGTAATACACACACTTCACGAGCATGCAGCCTTAAAGCCGAGTTCATATAGATGCGAATTTGCGAATTTACGAATTTGCGAAATACGAATATTCGCATTTCGCAGCTCTTATTCATATAGATGCGAATTGTCGGAACCATTTTAGGGACATTGTTTTCTCACTAGGCGATATTTGCCATGGTATTTTAGGGACATTATTTTCTCTCAAGGTGATATTTGCCATACTTGGTTAACATTTTCTATAGGTAGGTACTTAAATAGTAAAGTTACTTCTAAAAAAATATGCTACTATAAGGTAAAATAAGAAACTAATGTACCTCCAAAACCTCTTTGTCCATTATAAAGAACAAAAAACAACTTAAGCAAGAAACATTTTAAATAAAACTCAACAACGATGCAATACAAATGAAATAAACACAGAACATAAACAAAAATGGCGCGGATACATATAACAAATACGTATAATAGGCATCTGCATTAATGCGCATGCGCATCACGCCAAATTCGTGCGATTTTCGCAAAATATTGGATCAATCTCAAGATTCCCGCCCCCCAGATTTCAAATAATGCGAATTCGCAGAATCTGTCGAAACGTCGAAACACTTTTCCCGCCAAATCAAATGGACCAATGAAAACATTTTCGCATTTCGAAAATTCGCATGTCGCATCTATATGAACCAGGCTTTACAAAGAGTACAGTTTCTACACCCGGAAGATTATGCTAAACGTGTGGAACTTTGTCGGTGGGTAACTAACAATCGTAGAGTTGTATCGCGTATACTTTTTACTGATGAAGCAACATTTACCCGTGACGGAATTAAGTTATTCGTTGATAAATTTAGCAAAAAAACTATATACTTTACTTAAGTATTTATATATTAGGTGAAACAAAAATTCAGTGAACGACTACGTTCGTTGCTCACAATTTTTAGAATGGTCTTAAAAACTAAAAAATACATAAAATTCTCATGCATCTATGAATACTTAAAGATACTTAAAACTAATATCCTAAAGTAAAGGGCCTAACTAGAGAATGCTTTTAAGAAAGGTGTGAAATGACATATAACATAACTCCTCCCTCATTAAGCAAAAAAATAAGGGCACAATTGCAAATATTTATTTACAAAGTCCCTTTTTTTTTTATTTATTTAATTAACAATAAAAATGATTAATAAACTACATATCTTAAAAATACTAATAACAATAAATGTGGATACAAAAAAAATAAAAATAATAATGCTAAAACTAAACTTAATATTATCATTAAATGCATTCGCAGAAAAATGGGTTTATGTGCACTTAGGGTCGAACATAGTTGGTTAACAATTATTTACCATTACACAAGGATCGTTTGCATTTAATACGAAGCACTTCACTGTCTAGTTGAAAAAATCGTTGCAAGAGAGTATTTTTATTACTTTTGTGTTGCTTTATACTGTTAGGTTTGCTAGGATAAATGGGTATTAAGGAGAATGAGATATTGAGGAAAACTATGCGTATTTTGAATATAGAAATTATGAGTTATGGATTATGTATATATATATATTTTTTTTTTCAGTTACACTGAAAAAAATAATCTCTTAAAAGAAATGAAAATCACTTTGATTCAAGAGATTTGCGCTTTTGAATAGGGCCAAGAGCTATGTTTCTTAATCTAAGTCAGAAACTATCTTTACATGATTTTTTTAAAATTACTTGAGGGAAAAGATTAATCTATTCGTTGAAGGATATTACAATATTAGCTTAAATCAAGAGCAAGCGATTTCTTGGTACAAGAACCAAAAATATTTCTTCGGAAGATATTTCTCTTTTGAATTAAGAAAACGTTTTTTAGCGCAAAAACATGGGATTTTAACAAGAAAACTGCATCTCTTAATTGAAAAGCTTAGGAACTTTCTAAGAAAGAAAATTTGTCTTGCTACAAAAGCATATACTATTGACCTAACCACATTTTATTTTGATTTTAGAGCAAATATCTTTTGATCCAATAGTATGTATTGCTTTATTCAAAAGCTTCTGATCTTCACTAAAACTACCAGCGTTGTTAGTATTTAAGCTTAAAGTCCCCTTACCACGTAGGGCTTTTGATTTTAATTAATAAAACATGCATTTAACAATTAAAATCAAGGACCTTCCTTGTGAGGGGAGTTTAAGCCTAAATATTGGCATCGTTGAAAACTAGAAGATTGACTGAAAATAAGGTTTACAAAAAAAAATTATTTAAATAAAATAAAACATTTATTGTTTGATATCAACAAATACTATAGTATATATACTAATATTAATAACATAAATATGATTTAACATACAAAAATATTTAAAATAAAAAAATAAATCAATCTTATTGCACAAAACATATACCAATAATAATAACATAAAATAAAACTTATTATTTAATCATTGAAATAAAGCAACTGCCGTTACCCGAAACATGATTGTTATAAATGTTTTTATTTTTTGAAGATTCAAAAGAACAAATAATAAGTGTACTTTGATTTGCTTTCGTAACCTCATGAAAATGAGAGCTAAATCCAATGGTAACATATTTTAACACTAAGAAAAATATAGATTCTGCTTCAATAATAATATGTATTATTTTAGCAAAGGTAACTAAACCACCAATATCATAACTAATACTAAGAAAGAACCCCCTTTTATATAAAACAAAGTTAATGCTTACCCAAGGCACGGTAAAAGCGTTTTCGCTTATTTTATTTTTAACTATAATTGTATGATTTTTATTTACAACACTACGTGGTCCACACTTTTTTTCACATTCTAGTCCCTTTTTGCTGGAGAACCTATAAGATAATCTTAATTTTTGTTTAATACTTAAAGTAACCAGCAAATTTTTTCGACAAGTTGTATTATTAGCTGTACTTTTTAAAAGTTTGTGAAATCCTTCATACCTCATTGACCAGTAATGTCTGGGTGGTCCAATCATTTTAATGATTGCAGAATAATAACACGCCACAACACAACACAACACAAAATGTATATTAGAAATACCGATAATAATATATTACTACCCCTATTGTCAAATTGCAAGTTCAATAATACCAAACATCTGTGTACTAAACACGCGTGTGCCGCAAACCGTGTGCGCCGCGAACAGTTCGCGTTCTGCATCCCCTCCCATGTATTAGAAGCTACCAGATTTTGTTAGAAAATTGACATGCCATTGGGATAATTGTGATGTATCTTGAATGAATTGCGCAAATATAAATAATTTTCATAGCTTTTGAACAAAAACACTTTGCACTTGGTTGAAAGAAGAAACATTCAAGAGATTTTGTATTTGTTTTTAAGAGAACTATAGTTCTTGCGCTAAGAACTTTTTTCTTCAAGCAATAAATACTCTTTTATGCTAAAATATTGTTTCTTGCCTCTAATAATTTTAAATCAAGAGAGTTCACTACTTTGGTTTAAGGCCACCTTTTTTTTCAGTGTAGTTTCATTATAATTTGCAATATACCGTTGAGGTTTTAATTTGTCGTAATAATAGATTTTATTATTATCATTTATTTTGAATTCGGTTGTTGTTACTGGGTTTTCTACTCGTTTGTATAAGGGATGCGTTTTTACTTTCCATCTACGGCTTAAATTTCCATCTTTTATAAAGAGTGCACTCTTGAATGAACCATGGTTCATCGTGATTAATATCAATCCTATCTCGATTCTGATTTCGCGACTCTAAAATTTGATCTTGTTTCTGCCCTAATTTTTGTCGAATTTGTTGATTAAGAATTTTTACATTTTGTGTATGTTCGTCAATCCAATCGGCTACTACCTGAGTGGGATGAAGTTCAAATGGGGAAACGTAGTCTAGTCGACCTTTTATCACTTGAAAGGGAGTATAATCTAATGCCGAGTGTATAGAATTGTTATAGGAGAGAGTTGCATAATCGATTAATTCGAAAATAGGGGCTTTTGGTTTTTCTTGTCGCAAAACACGTAGACCTTCGATAATTGTTGAGTGAAATCTTTCTACTGGGCTGTTGCTATTCGGATGTTGTCGAGTAATAT